GTTCACTACAAGAGATGGGGTTTTTAGAGAAGAAAGTTTTAGAGAAGAATTCAGAAGCGTAACTAAAGGTGATTTTTAGAGAAGGAATTATACGACAGATGTGAGAAGTGTAACTGAATATAAGATGATTTTCAGATAAGGATTTGAAATCAAATTATTCGCAACAAAAACTGTCTCTAAAGTTTTTAGAGACATTTTCTCAGAAAATCGTCTCTAAAAGTCAAGTAGAATTTTTAGAAACGCTCTTCAAAATGTCTCTAAAAAATAAAAATGTTGTTTATTTTTATTTTTAAATTAATAAAAAGTTTCAGATGCGCTTTTATAGATTTTAAAGTGTCTCTAAAAGGTTTTTTTTAAATAAATCAAAATTCAAAAATATATAATAAATCATTATTATTAGATACTTTATAAATGAGATTTAACAAAAGTCTTAAAAACAACATCTATGGGATTTGGTACTACTTTTACTGCATAAAGTCTTAAAGTCTTAAAAACAACCATTATTGCATATATTACCACTTTTTAAAGCATAATTCTTTAAAAACTCTTAATTACAACAAGTTTATGCATAATATACAACTTACCAATGCTATATCTATATCTGACACACGATTTATCTTCCCTATTACACTGTTGATGGCTTCTTTCCAAAGCGATGATTTGATTCCCAAAATGGCGATTCAAGCTACCGGTGAATTCAAATATGATTAGAAATGCGTTTAGGGTTGTTATTGATATCGTTCATCTACCGATTCATTGCTTCTTATTCCAATGTCAATCCATCACTATCCCAATCGAGGTAATTTCTTTTGTGATTTAGGGTTTATCAGTTGTATTTCTTTATTTGTTGTTCTTTGGGTTTTCTCATGGTTTAGGGTTTGATTTCACTTGTGTGTGTTAGGGTTTGATGTGTTGTATGTGTTTTTTACTTCAATTCATCACTACCTTGTTCTTTCTCCTTCCCTGTTTTTTATATTCTTTTGTTATTGTGTTGCTTATCTTGTGTTTGATGGAAGTCCTCAAAAAGTATTTGATTTTTTCTATCCCAAGTTGTTGTTTATCATATGTTTGTTGAAAGTCCTCAAAGAGAGGTTTAGCATTTAACAATTTTCCAATAATTTTCAACTGTACCCATGTAGCAACCGGATGTTGGAGGTTTTTCCTTTTTAATATTAGACTTCATCTTTCATCTTAGATTTTATGATTTTTCATCTTCATCTTTTGTTTGATTCAATGGTGTAATCTTTTTATTCTTATGGTTGAAGTCCCAAGAAAAGTAATAACCAAGTTCTTCATTTTAACAATGATGCAAGAACATATGTTATCTCAGGTGGTTGTTTGGGATTACATATTAGAGGCCTTGAAGATCACCAAAATTGTCATTCAGAATGGACCAATGGAGCATTTGTCTTTGATTTTGTATAAGTTATCATTTCATATGCTTATATACACAAAAGCTGATATGTATTTCTCTATGCAGCAGAAGAAGTTGGATACACATCAGTAGACAAGACAGTTAAATGTAAGCTTCATACTGTTGTCATGTACTATACACACATTGCTTAATCATGCAAAACTAATTTGGCGCCTTTCCATCACTCTCCAAGTTTGATCTTCTTTCTTCTAATAGATTTTTTTCTTCAATGGTTTTTTATATTTGCCTCTCTAATTAGTGTTTTTTTTCCGATAATGGTTGACTTATTATTGTGTTCCTCATGTTTGATTGATCAGAAAAGGTTGTATCAGTTAGATTTTCATTGATTAATCGAGGCTGAGGAATGTAAGGCTTCAACTCTCCTTACTTCTTTGTTTTATTTACCCTTAATTATGGTTTCTTCCTTGTGTTYAAAGGGACCTAGAAGAGAATCTCTGGTAATTAGTTCTTGATATTTTGTTCTCTTTCTATCATTAATATTAGTTGCTTTCTTGTAATCATTTTTTCTATTGGTCGGTATTAGTATTAGTTGCTTTCTTRAAATTGAGTTTTCTATCAGTTAGTATTAGTATTAGTTGCTTTTTTCAATCAATTCCATTTTAGTCTCTACACACATCCATACATAAATATAGAATACCAGAAAATTGGAATTCTGAACCAGAAAATGTGTTGGTTGCTTTCTTGAAAGCTTCTGCTTTGATGGTGGTTCCAAACCACAAAATGGGTATTCCAATAGGCTTATATGATTCAAATGGGTTCAATGTTGTTTCGATGTGATGTCACCCATTTAGTTATTTTTGGAATTATTATATCATTATAGCCTCTGTTTTGGAATGTGATGCCATTAAATTACAATAGCTTTTATTTTGGAATGTGAATGTGATGTCATTRTATGATGATAAAAAATCTTCTGTTTTAATCCAGAAAATGGGTTCTTTTTTTGGTTTGTTTGTGTTTAGTATCAGTTGCTATGTTAGTATTTTAAAATGATGTGCCAAACCTTAGAGCAGGCGATGGTGTATATGTTCCAAAACCATTAACTTCATGTCGAAATTATATCTTGTGGCTTCRCAATCTCTTTGTTTTTATTTCGGTACTCTAGAGATTTTGCCATTTGATGTGGAGGATTGTAATATAAGTTTCTTTATTTTGGACAGGAAAAGAGCTTGAGTTTGATAGTCCGATGTTGTATCACTATGATGATTAAAGAACGAAACAAGGCAAAACCTGTTTGTTTCTTAAATTGATACAACTTCAATGCAGTACATATAAAAGAGATCTATTTGTTTTTGTTTCAACCACGATTGTTGTTAAGTATGATAGAGAGGATTTGGTGTTACAATAACTGTAAGCCATATTCAACTATGCAAGTTGTCTWTACTTTGGTTTTCAAAATTGCAATACTACTGTCATTTTCTTTAACATGAAATGGTGTCATGACAGTGGAAGCTTCTGTAGGGAATGGTTAAGATAAGATGATTGGATATGATTCCAAAGGTAGCTTTTATACATGGTTTGTAGTTTTRTGAGATACAATCAATAAGTGAATAGTTTGGGAAATGTTTTTTCTTATGTTACTCTTCTCAGTCAAGTGCTTTGTTTTTACCTTCACAATTTTTGCGCTTTGCTTTTTTCATCTAAAGATCAAGCAGCTTTGGACAGCARCATCCCTGTCTCCCCAGTGGCTCGATGCTAAACMAGGCGAGAGTAAGGTGCCGTTTATCAAACACTTACCCGGTAAGTGCTTACCGGTAAAATTTAACTCTATTATTTATTTACCGGGTAAGGTTTTAGTCTACCAAAA